CTCACATGGGATAGGGGCTGGGGCATAAAGAGCAAACCATTAAAGCCAACATGGTAGAGCTCCGTAGTTCAGCTCTTGGGAGGAGGGAAACGGGAGGGTCTGGAGGTTAGGCTCATTCTTGGCTACCCAGTAATTTCAAGTCCAGACTAGGCTGCTGTATTAGTCACGGTCCCCTGAAGGAACAGAACTGATGGAATGAAGACAGACAGACAAGTGATATGTTGGATGGGGATGTATTAGAGTGACTAACTGGCTGTGGTCCGAGTAGCCCAACAGTGGCTGTCTCCTGACACAGAGGCCGATCGATAATCTGTGAGTTTTTCAACCTGTGGTGCTGGATGTCTCAGCGATCCCAATCTGGCGTGGAGTCCTAGAGGATTCCTAGAGAGCTGGTTATCTTTAGTCTACCTATGAATTTCAAAGACTTTAGTTTTAAAACTGGCAAAGGAATGTTTCAGCAACAGGACAGAGGGACTCGCCTGTGGGAGTGAGGGCAAGCAGGTAAAAAGCAAACATTCCCTCTTCTGTGTCTTGGATCTGGGCTGCCACCAGAAGAGGTGGCCCAGATTTAGGGTGGATCTTCCTGCTTCAAATACTATGATCATGAAAATCCTTCACAGGAGTGCCCAGCAGCTTGGGTTGATTCCAGATGTAGTCAAGCTGGCAGTGAATATTAACCATCACAGCTGGGTAAGAACTCATCTCAAAACCAAAAAAACAGTAATCAGAGCATTACCATCAACTGCGTGGGCTCCTTACACTCTCCCCAAACAGACATCATAAACAGGCCAGGAGAAACTCTAGCCATGCTGTGTAGCAGAAATGGTGACAGTTAGGCAGGTGGGAGCAGCAGCAGGTGACGCCCCCTAGTGTTACATTCCTTCTGCAGGTCACCCACACTGGGACCCTTAGCATTACAGAGCACCCAGAGCTTGTGTGGATTCCTCAGCCTTTGGCGGAGGCCTCTGTTACAGCTCTGGTGTAGGTCTGGAGGGCAGTTGAGCCTCCCTAGTCTTTAACACTGACCCCTGTTAGAGCTCAGTACAGAGCCGGACCCCCTTGGCCCTATAGCTCTCTGGAACCCTTCTGGTGACTAGGGCTGCAGTTTAGTTCCTGGCTCCTTACTGCCTTCTTTCCTCCAGTGTCAGCTCTCTGCCTTCTCTTGTGGCCTCTCTACGTCCACCACTGTTATGGTTTGGATGTGAAATGTCCCCAGAGGCTTGTGTATTTGAACATCTGGTCCCCAGCTCTTGGTACAGTCTAGGGACATGTTGCACAGCTGGCTGACCCAGGGCTATGGGGATAGAGCTTCTGGCTGTAAGCTGGCCTGAGTTGCATCTGGAGTCTCTCTGTGTCTTGGGTGGCTGAGATGTGAGCAAGCCGCGTGCTGCTTCAGCCACCTGAAAGCCACCACACCTTTCCTGCCACGAGTCTGTGAGCTAAAATAAAGTCTTCTTCCCCTAAATTGCTTCTGTTAGGCATTTTTGTCCCAGTGACAAGGAAAGTAATGAACACAACAGCCCTTCACCTTCCCTAGGTCCCTCCCAGTTGCCCTTCCCCCTTCCCTAGCCCCCTCCCATCTGCCCTTTCCCCTTCCCTAGCCCCCTCCCAGCTAAGCCTGCAGACTGCCCAGCCCCCTCCCAGCTCAGCCTGCAGACTGCCCAGCCCCCTCCCAGCTCAGCCTGCACACTGCCCAGCCCCCTCCCAGCTCAGCCTGCA